GAAATGAATTGGCATCGTGGCAGCAGCAATGGGCTCAAACGTGGCAACGATTGTGAGGCGGGTGAGGATTTTGTCCTCTTCTGCATAGGGTCGCTATGGGTCGGTAGAGACTCCCTGGCACATGACAAAAACAGTAACAAAACAACAACTATGAACAACAGAACAAAACACTGCCTGGTTATGTGCCACTCTTGCAGTGGTCGCCATATTTGAACCCATTGTTGCAGAAACTATGTCATGCATCTCATAAGGGTCTTTCTCTTTTCCACTAATCTTCTACTTTACCAAGTATGAGGTCCTGTTCCAAAGCCTAGTTCCTCCTGACAACATGTCAGAAGTACATGAAGTGATGTCTTGCTGTCCTTGTTGCTAAGAAGCACTCTGGCTGTACTTCTGACACAGATTTGTTCATCCTTCAGGTAGTCCACAGTATTCTTTCTCAACACCATACTTCCAAGACATCAATTCTTCTTCAGTCTTCCTTATTCATTGTCCAACTTTCACATGTATATGAGGTGATTGAAAATATCATGGCTTGGGTCAGGTGCACCTTCGTCCTCAAAGTGATATCTTTGTCTTCTAACATATTAAAGAGATCATTTGCAGCATATTTGACCAATATGATAAGTTGTTTAATTTTCTGACTGTTGCTTTCATGGACATTGATTGTAGATCCACACAGAACGAAATCATTGACAACTTCAATATTTTCTCCATTTATCATGATGCTTCTTTTATCAGTCCATTTGTGAGAATTTTTTTCTTTATGTTTAATCCATACTGAAGGAGTCCTGGTGTGGTACTGTAGGATAAGCACGGGAATGCTAACCAAAAGTTGAGCAGCTCAAATCCACCAGCTGTTCCTCAGTAACCCTATACAGGGTCACTATGAGAAGCGATTTGAAGACATTTAACAACAACAAAGTCTGTATGAATCCATACTGAAGGCTATTAGTCTTTGATCTTCATCAGTTCGTGCTTCAAGTCATCTTAGCTTTCAGCAAGCAAGGTTGTGCCATCTGCATATCACTGGTTGTTAATGAGCCTTCCTCCAATCCTGATGCCACATTCTTCTTCATATACTACAGCTTCTCAGATGATTTGCTCAGCATACAGACTGAATACGTACGGCGAAAGGATACAACCCTGATGCACACCTCTCCTTATTTCAAACCTCTCAGTATCTATCCACTTGTTCTGTTTGAACAACTACCTACTTCTTGGTCTATGTACATGTTCCACATGAGTACAACCACATGTTCTGGAATTCCCATTCTTTGCAATGTCATCCATAATGTTTTATGATCCACACAGGTGGATCATATGCCTTTACATAGTCAATGAAACACAGATAAACATCTTTCTGATATTGCCAGCTTTCAGCAAGATCAGTCTAACATCAGCAATGATATCCCTTGTTCTATGTCCTCTTCCAAATCTGGCTTGAATTTCTGGCAGTTCCCTGTTGATAAACTGCTGCAACTACTTTTTATATTATCTTTTCATCTTTCTAATTATTTATCTTCACCAAAATTTTACTTGCAGGTGATATTAATGATTGTTATTGTTGTTAAGTGCTGTGGAGTTATTTCCAACTCAGAGTGACTCTGTGTAGTGTTTCCAAGGAGCGGCTGGTGGATCTGAGCCATCAAGCTTGCAGTCAGCAGTCCAGTGCTTATCCTACATCACCTTACCAGGACTCCATATTAATTATGCTGTTCAATAATGTCCACATTCTGCTGGATCACCTTTCTTTGGAATGAGCACAAATATGGATCTCTTCCAATGAGTGGGTCAGGTAGCTGTCTTCCAAATTTCTAGACATAGAAGAATGAGCACTTCCAACATTGCAGATGTTGAAACATCTCAACTGGTATTACATTAATTCCCATTGTCAAATGCCATTGAGTCATTTCCAATTTATAGTGGCCCTGTATAGGGTTTCTGAGGAGCAGATGGTAGGTTTGAATCACCGACCTTGCAGTTAGAAGTCCAGTGCTCATCTTAGTGCCATACCAGGACTCCTAGAGCCTTGCTTTTTATTAATGCCTTCAATGCAGCTTGGATGTCTCCCTTACATACCATTGGTTTTTTTACCTCTAGAAATGGTTGAACATTAAAAATCCTTTTTGTTATACTGACACCATAGTCCTTCCTTCTTCTTTTGATGTTTCTTGTGTTGTTCAATATCTTGCCCATTTTTGTTGTTGTTAGGTGCTGTCGAGTCAGTTTCAACTCATAGTGACCTAAACACTGACTAAACACAACAGAACTAAACACTGACTGGTTCTGCACTATCCTCACAATTGTTATAATGTTGCTGATAACACTGCATCTATCTATCATTTTAGGGGTCCCCTTTTCTTCCCTAACCATCTAATTTCCCAAGCATGGTGTTAGTGGTTCAAGCTTGCCAGCTCCTCCACATGAGAAACATGAGACTTTCTGCTCTCGTGAACTACCCTGTCAGCATTTAACAACAACAATTTATTGGTCCAGTTGTAAGGATTTTCGTTTGCTTTACATTAAGGTGCAATCCATACTGAAGGCTGCAATCTTTGATATTCATCATTAAGTATTTCAAATCCTCTTGGCGTCCAATGAACAAGGTTGTGCCATCTGCGTACAGCATATTAATGAGTCTTCCTTCTACTGTGATTCCACATTCTTTTTCATATAATTCAGCTTGTTGGATTATTTCCTAAGCATATAGATTGAGGAAGTATGGTGAAAGGATACAGTGTTGATGCACACCTTTCTTGAT